CCCAGCGAAGAGTGTACCTGTCTAAACATGCACAAATGAGAGAAGCTGCTTTGACTCCAGTGTTACTGTAGATACTGGCCAAATAGAAACATGTTCCCTCTGCTCCAACAGTTCCACTACATAGGAAATACAATTATTTTCTCTTTCATTTTTCACTACATATTCAAGTCTTTCAGTTGTGGAATGTCTATACACAAAATGGGAAATTTGTTCCCCCACACTTGAGTTTTCTTTAAGAGATCAAAGAATCTGAATAGCAATTATTCTAGATCAAATCCTCAATATATCACATTTACAACAGATGTAATATTAAATTCTCTTTGTTTCTGAAGGCCTGTTTGACATGAGTGCATCAACACCATTCCCTTAAACAGTTTAATACCAATCTTGAACACATGAATAAAGCCACCTTTTTTTTTTTTAAAAAAAAAAAACAACCCAACAGATTTACCCTATACTCCTGAATGACCCATCCTCACAACCAAGGACTGGAGACAGCTACCTTTTACCCAGAGATTAGTGCACTTTTGGAAGATGTGCACCATTGGTGATGGAGAAATATTTATCAATGGTGGCAGAGGTGACCATTCTGACAGTCCTACCTTTAACAACAGACTTCACAAAGAGAAGGTCAATAGTTGGTACATGGGTACTATTATCATTGCAGTAACTAGCCAGTAATCCAAATCACAGACTGATAATCTACAGCTACTGAATTTACCTTCCCTGTGTACACAACTCTGCTTTGAAAATTGCTTCTCTCCTCCCCTCACCAACATAAACAAACCCATTTTTAGTGTTCAGGATTAGGAAGGTAATTAAAACAAGATACTACACACACAAACATGTATATGTATCTATACAGAGGAAGAGAAGCATAGTCAAGTATAAAGTGTAACTGCCTGGATCTGCAATAACCTAAATTCAACAAAAGAATACTAGCAATCCTGAAAGGTGTCTCAGATTTGACACACAACTGAGAAAATTGAAATGTACGCTTTTTTCTAAAATTTATGCAATCCTCCTGTGTGGGTTACAAGCAGTATAGAAAACTGATATATTCAATCTCAAATTTATATTTCAGATTTACAGTTTTACCTTGAGTTACACAAAAGACTGTTACTAGATGAAATACTAGATTCTGATGCACAGCGGCGACGAGGTTCAACTTTTCTTCCCGGAGTATCATCTAATGCTCTCTCTTTACCTCCATCTCCAAAACCATTTGACAGACCTACAGCATAATACAAAAATAAACTGCATCAAACTGGAAACTACACCATTTTCATTAACAACTTTTTATATTCACACATTGTATCATTACTGTTCTGTACTTCAAGTATTATGATGTGATGAAAAAGAAAGAACATGAACATTAACAAAACATTTCATTTCAAAACACAGTATTATAAATAGAAGAATCCTGTAGTCCAGATTTTAAAGATAGGATGGAAATTTAGGTAACATAAAAAAGGTGAAGATTATAATATGGCAAATGCCAAATGGAATAGCAAATCAGTCTCTGTATGTAATGTTTCCAACTATTAAGACAGCCAGGCTGCAGAAGTTGGGTAGAAAAAACAAGAAAAAAGCCCAAAAAACATTACAAACCAGGCCAATTTACCAAGTCAACACAAGACTCATTTGAATACAATGTTACAACCGTAAATCAAGAAATACTGAAAATCCTTTTCAAACACTGGAAGAGTGGTAGAGATTCCCTCCTGCTGCTAGTAATTCTTCCTGAAAGCCTTCCCATTTTAGTAAATTCAGACTGATGTCATGTCTGTTTTCTGGGATCAGCAATCAATAATATGCACATTATTATTTTTGACTATCCTTCCCCTGGCACAAGTTTATATACGTCTAAGGATATTATATTTTGACTTTATAACTGTAATGAAAACATAACAAAAGGCTTTTATATTACAAGCTACTGATTTGATGGGCTGCCACCAATCCTGCTCTGGGTTTGGTAAGTCATAAACAGTATAGTTCTTATTAAGCCATTTCCATATTTGATTAAAGAGACAAATGAAGAGGTTTAGGACAGCGTTCTGAAGGCAGATGAGGGGAATTAGCCCTAAAAAAGAAAGAATCCAACACAGACTCCAGAGTATCAACAGAAATGAACTGGCTAAAGACAATGGTACTAGCCTGCAATCAGCTATTGCAAGCTGTACACTGCAAAGAAAACAAAATTTTAACACGAATCCAATTCCGAGCACTTACTTCCTTACAATAAAATTTTTACTTAAGGCATATGACCAGCATGCTTCTCATAATGCAGGAAAGAGCTACCCATCCCAGCCATCCTATTATCAGAGTCTTGAAAGGTCATCATGATCTTTGTTCATTCACACATAGTCAAATAAGCTTATGTAACTTCACGTGCCTCTCCACAGAGCATTACACTGTAAGACAATTATGGCAGAACTCCCTTATTAAGTTCTAATTCTTCCAGTCTGTTTGCTACAAAGACCTCTGCAAAGAAGGCTGACAACTGAGGAACTTAAACTTAGCAAATTACTTTGTACAATCCAGTCATATTTCAAGGCACTTCCATACAGTGATTTAAGAGATTTCCTCCTCCACCCCCAGGAGACCTCTCCTTTGGATTATCAACACAATTTTAGATTTTTAAGAGAAAAAGGATAATTTATTCAGTGGTCTGAAAGATTTAGAGATGAGCATTCTCCTTCATAGTCATTTAGTTGACATTGTAGAATATTCATTTAAGAGTGTCTGTTTTGTAATTCCTGTGTTTGCCTTTGATTTCCTATAGAGGAAAAAAAAATGATAAAGGTAGCATTGTCAAGTGCTCAACCACCAAACTACATGCTATTGATTAACCTTGTTCTGATTCTCAGCAAGTCAGTAAAAATAGCTGGAGATTAACTAGGAGTTCAGCTATGCTGAAAGACCTGTCAAAACAGAGTATGCTTTATGAGAAAGCTTAAATTCCCCTATGAACTATCGCAGTACACTTCACATAGCATCAAAATGAAAAGCTGAAAAAAACATTCTGCAAAGATAAAAAAGAGATCTCTTAGGTTTCTGCAAATAAATATTTTTTATTCCTAGATATCCTGTCAGACCTATTTTTCAAGTGAGGTGTAGAAACTGTTTCGTTTTCATCCTGCCACAAGCCAGAGATATATTACTCAAGTTATCATTGAGGCATCTAGCTAATATAAATCAGCTATCAGCAAAAACAAATTAGATCACAGATTAGTTTTTAAATTTAAAGACAGCTCAAGTAAATATTGCTACCAGAATCAGAGCACAGTTCAGGTTCCCAATGAACTGAAAAAGTAAAAGGAAATATCTGTTTATTCTTGTAAGAGTATGTATAAAATGTATGCCAAATATGACTTGGCTACGTATCTCTAGGTACACCAGTTCTGTATGTATATGTATATCCGGGACAAAAAAACCGTTTTTTGTCAATATTCACATTTTGATTGCTTCAATCAGTTTATGATTGTGCTGCCACTGAAATGGACGTTTTGATGCTCTCAGTCCCTTGCAATGGTTTCTCATCATCATCACCATGTCAATACCAAGAAACACATGGTCATGTAATGAACTAGTTTTCAGCCATGCACTGGGCAAAGCAACCGTGCAATTCCCTGATTGCTGATGTTGAGTAACAAGGGAAGCAACAGAAACATGCAACTATAACAATGGAGACAGCTCTCTGCAGTGGTAGTCCAGTCTTACACTATTGTAAACATAACCTACGTTATGAGTTTAATGATTCATTTATTTCACTAACGTAGGTTTTTAAGATTACAGTAAGCAAAGTTTTTTCAATCTGCAGAATGATCATTAACAGTGGGGGGAAAAAAAACCCCAACCTTTTTCTGACAAATAAGGAATATTAAAGTGCAAAAGAATTTAGAGCTTTTCAGACATGTTTCTCTCTTGCTTGTGGAAGTATGAAAAATGAACATGCAGGCTACCAGCAGGAGCAATCTTCCTGAGTATCAAGCCCTGAACGACATGAGCTTACGCAGTCCATGAGACTCAGTTTATACAGTCCACTTTTCAGAAATTATAAGGAATAACCTTTATTTTAAGGAAGAGAGACCTCAAAGCTTATTTTAAACAAAACACACTCATATCTAGTCACAGATGCAGCAGGCCCCAAGTGACCTTGTTACTTGACAGAAAAATCCAGGCAATAAAATATAAGTGCTTTATGGTATCACAGATGTGCAAAAAATAAACAGATACACTACATTTACATGCTATAACTGGGATGACAGAAAAATCCAGGCAATAAAATATAAGTGCTTTATGGTATCACAGATGTGCAAAAAAAACAGATACACTACATTTACATGCTGTAACTGGGAATTTGTTTTTTTAAATCATTACAGAACTCTTTCTCCCATGAATCAAGAAACACCCAATCTCCTGTAGCTACTAGAATAAGCGAGATTAAAGATGATCCCCCTGTGCATTAAGGAATCTGCTTTTTATTGGCTCAAAAGATATTACTAGGAAGGTCAAATAAAGAAAATCCATGGGAGAAGTAATTCATCCTGCTTTTGCAGATTAGTAGTCTGGGTAAGCCTACAGCAAACCTATATGAGCCATTTATATTTTCCAAAAGCTCATGATTTTGTTAGATCAACTGAGCTTTCTCTACAGTCACAGAGAGAAACTTTATCAGGTCAGGTACTGAACTTCTTACACATACCCCCTCACCAACACCCTTGATTAAGAACAACCTCCCCCCAAAAAAATCCCAAGCATCAAACTAAAACCTTTCATTAGTGGATGAATCCTTTTTGTTTTCTCCTCTTTTCTTAAGTTTCTTCAAAAAGCAGTTCACTCTCAGAGGCAGAATTCAACTTTTTTTTCATTAAAAAAAAAAAGAGGAATTCACAAATAGTGAAGTCTGCTATCAATATTAAATGCAGGGTTACCACGTTTCCAATCTTCAGCTCTAGACATCATTTTACATAGAAAGTTTACTGCCACGTCAATCATATAACACATGTAACCTTTTTAAAAATATAGAAATGCTAACAAAAACCTGTAAACTAAGAAGAAAAGAAAAAGTAAGCCAAAGATTATCAGCTTGATACTTTTTCACAGGTTTCTCACTGTCTTGAAAAGTGTAGTTATCAGGGAAAGCTTCAACTTTTCCTCAACAGTAGCAGTTTGTTCTTAAACTGCAATTAAAACTTTCACTGACTACCTACATCAAGCAAGTTAGGATCTTGTTGCCCACACCAAATTAATGGAAGCAGGAAAAGGTAACTCTGGAAAGACAGCAGAAGTTCGGAAAAAATGACAGAGGAACAAAACTCAGGATACTCCAAGGAGCAGCATGCTCCACGAACATACAAAATGCTGCCACAGAATACAGAATTGTCCATTTCAGACTGTAATCGCATCTTGCAGTTCTGCTGAAACAAAAATAACAACGCAGAACTTGTATAAAATTATTCTAAAGCAATTAAAACTTTATTATGCATAGCTTGATGCAAAACCAAGCATATCCAAATGTAAGATGAAGTGCTGTATTCAAACCACAGCTGAAGAGCTGAGAAATAATGAAAACCGTTAACTAATTTCAACCACTAAAAAAGTGGGAGCATTCAAAAAATGACTGCACACAGCACACCAGCACTTATATAACACTACTTAGGTTCATTTTACCACGCAAGGACGAATCAAGTCCTGACTTGTGCACTTACCCAGCACCAGTGACATTAGTCTTCATCAAAATATGTATGTTAAAGAAAACTGTGTATTTTATTAAAACTACATAAATGCACAAAAATAGGTAAAACAGTTTTTTGTACACTTTACTTCTCCAAGAAAGACTAGACTGGTTTTTGGGGAAGGGAAGAGGATGGAGATGGAACATTCTTAACTAATCTGCTCTCACAGAGCATGTTCTGGGAGTAAGAACGCTGGGACTGGTAAAAATCTGCGACCAATTTGTGTCACATATACTACAACATGTACAACTTTATAACTTACGGAAATGGGGCAATATATTGAATGAAGAGCATAGTTTCATATATGTCAAAGACTTCCTCCAAGAGTGTTCATTTTTTTTTTTTGTTTTAAGGATGGCTGGTGTCTCCAACATGATCCAAAATAATTACTTCAAATGTAATTGTCTTTCTGCGTTCCAAAATGATCATTTAATTGAATTCCATTCCATGTTGAGGATAACAGAAAATAATTAGGATCCAAAGAGATAAATAC